TCCTCAACCTGTTTACCTACTTGAGATGTGTCTTAGAGAGAGAGAGAGAGGGGGGGGGAAGGAGCTGGTTCATGTATTTGTGCTGTCATTTTTGTAAGTAATGTTGCTGCTCTTGTTTGGCCTCTAGTTGTCTGCTCAACCATTTTGAATGCCAAAAATTTAATAAAAATGTTACATAACATGACAGCTGTCCTTAGAATTATGATGAAGAATTTGTTGATAGTTTATACAATCTTTGGTGTTAGGACTGATAGCCTTCTACCTTGTACTATCAGTCATTACTGATCCTCCTCCCCCTTCTTAATAGGAATCACTTCTATTTCTGGAATAAGAAAACTAATGAAGTTTCCTGGTACCCACCAGCTAAAAGTAAAAGAAAGCAATAACATTATCATTAACTACTTGTATCTCAATCCAGCTACCTACCAGCCAAAGCAGACATTAGCAGAGGTATGTACTCCTTTACTCTTTATTGAATATGTGTGTATATTGTTTTAAGAGTGTGTGTGTCATTATACTTACAAACAAGCCATCATGTGCTATATCATTAAAGGTGTACTGATTCTGTTGGTACATGTACCATGTCACTAATGTATTACTTCATGTGCCTCTCTCTCTGTGTGTTTGTAACTAGCTCCTTTATTGTGTGTTCACATACACTCTAGGTCCTCATTATTTCATACTATTATTATGCATTTATTTATTGTGTGGTTTTACGAGTGGTACCAATGTTCATTAAGAGTTGCTGCCATTCACTATCTGTACTTCCTCCATTATTAATCACTTGTTTGTGTGTTTGTAATATTTAAATATGAACCAGCAGCTGTGAGTACGTACACGTGTGTTGATGGCACCTGTACATGTTGCCACTCTTACAAGTAATCACACCAAATGGTGACACACACTGATCTTGTGTGGTCTTCATGCTGCAGGAGCAAAGGAAAAGACTTTCAAGGAAGTCTGGGCCTTCATCTTTCAAGAAAAAGAAAAAGAAATTTAGTTAGTTCAGTTGTAGTATAACCTTAAAGTGTTTGTTTATATATACAGCTGAAGATACTGACCTAGACCCAATGGATCCAGCTGCTTATTCTGATGCTCCAAGGTAATTCAAAAAATAGAATATAACCTGTCTTTATCAGTGTAACCTCTTTTTAAGGGGGACATGGCAGTCTGGTCTGGAAGATAAAGGAGAAGCTAAGACTGGTGTGGACACAACCGCTAATGGACCCCTCTTTCAAATGAGGCCTTACCCCAGCCCTGGGGCCATCCTTAAAATGAATAAAGATATTAAATCATGATTCATGCACTTGCACTTTTATTAATAAAAACTTAACATCAACTGTCTCTTCATTTATATAAAGGACACGTGAATACGTTGTAGCCATTTTGTGGTAAAAATACCAAATGTGACGTGAGAGCACCTTTAGATCTGTGTGTGCCAGACAAATTGTCTTCTAACGGAACATGACTCCATGTCATACCTGTCAGTCGTGTATTAGTTGCTGTGAGAGTGGAATGAGAGACAGAGTGTGTGTTCTAGTGAGTGATGCTCTTATGAATGTCCTTCTTGTATTTCCTGTAACCTCTACTCCCTGGTATGATTGGAATTTGTTTATAGTTTAAGAGAGGGTTGAGTGTGTCAGCAATTTGTTGCTAAATTTATTTATTGTATAATTATTATTTTATAATTAAACAGGTTAAATGCCAAATTAACATGTCAATATTGTATAGATATTATACAGGTCATAATGAGATGCACATACAGTGATACATACAAATGAACATAAATTAGTACAAAAAATGAATACATGTGTATTACAGTCTGTTAAAAAGAGATTGAAATGAAAATGGTGATTATAAAATAGTTAAACTGAATTGACGACCTCGTGCACTATGTAAGTCTCTCTTGGAGGAGTCTTTCTCCTGAAGTACTGATACCGGAAGTCATTGTTCTGTCCGTAC